TTTCTATGGGTGAATCGACGTGAGTAACCAATACTCCTGTTTGCAAGCATGCCCATCACTCAAATTTCTTAGAGCGTGGTATGTCAGTAATCTGGAGAGACCTTCCGGTAGCGATGGAAGTCCATTTTACCACAAGATGGGGCATGATGTAACACCATCCAAGACCTTCATAGGCAAAATCACGACGCACCCAATCTGGATGGCTTTGTCGGCTGATATTTTTACGGGACAAATCATCGCATCATTGATTGTTTTGACGTTTGTGGCGGTCTTTCTACTCCGCGAGTGGATATCTCAGAATGCGCGCCCCGGAGTGTTCGAAGATGAGGAAGTTTTCCCGGATATGCCCCCCGCTGCCAATGATCCACTACCACAGCCTGCTCCCAACCCACCTGCACCCGCAAATTTACCTGCGCTCCCGGATCCCGCCGAATTAGAACTTCGACAACAGAATGCAATGCGAGCATTGGAACTGCTCCGCGCAGTAGAGGCGCTCGTGGACCAAGATGAAAGTGGTGAGCATGGGCAGAGGCGAACCGGTGGAGCTGATAATGGGAGGCCTGACGCAGCGCGCGTCGAGCCGGAGAGGAAAAAAAAGCGGGTGTTGGGTGCCGACAGTGGGTCGGAAGCAGAGAGCGATGAGGGCGGGGTGGATCGAATCAAGAGGAGAACCCATACATACCGGGGTTCGGGTTCGTCCAGCTTGAGATCATCTGGTCTACGACGCCGTAGTGGTAAAAATTCGGGTCGGTCGGCTTCACCAGCAAGACAGCCTTCGAGTGCTGAAAATTTGGATTCCGTTTACCCTTTCACTTTTCAAGCTTCCGCTGCAGACACCGCAGATGTGGCAGCATCGGGATTGGGCCAACCTCAATATTCCACTCCAGAACCTCTTTCTCTTTCAGCATTCGCTCGTCGACCCCCCTTGCCCACTTCTGTGTTAGCTGTCCCTGGACAAGAAAGCCCTCCAATTATTCTCCCTCCAAGTCGAACATCATTAGATTCTCCGGGCCTTGCGACATATCGCGCTCCAGAGGAATTGAATGCCGAGGCCAGTCCATCGTCAAAACCCCGCGGATCCCTTGAAGATCTGGGGAAGAGTACGTGCCAGCGGGATATCGATACACAAGGAAAAGAACTTCAGGTTTCCTTCACTTCCCAGTCTCCGAGTTTTCTCCACGACGAATCCAGTCCTGCATGTACAGACATATCTCCTCCCCCCGTTTCAGACATCAACAACGGGAACAAACCTGATGACCCCGCTGGGCTACCACCATACCCCACCCACTTGCTCACAGAGAACAACGTACGAAGCGAACATCCTGCGCAAAACGATTTACCGGAAGACTCCTTTGCAACCACCTCTAGTATAGTTGTCGATGAAGCAGAGTCTGACTTCGATCTCGAGAATGAGCACCGCCACTATTTCCGCGAAGTGGGAGATTCTGCTCCATTGACTCCATCATGGCCAGGCACACCCGGGCCAGACGTTCCTATACCTGTAGGGGGACAGGATCATGAGAGGGAAGAGGTGGATTTACGAAGGGATGAGGACGATGAAGATGAAGACGAACCTGAAGAAGATGGAGATGAGTTATTGTGGAATGATGCTCATTGGGATGGGATTGAGGTTGAGGAGCTGCCTGAGGGAATGGAGCAAAACGTTGAAGGGGCACCCCCTGTGCTGGATGCTGGTCCTGTACGAGCTAATGGACGCGGAGAAGTGAATGTGGCTGGGGATGGTGGATTGCCTCCTGATCTAGCAGATGACTTGGAAGGAGGCGTTGAGGATGATATGGAAGGGGCAATGGAAGGTTCGTAGTGAACCTCGATATTATTTGAGCTTTTTCCTGACCATTCTCAAGCCATTGGGATGAGAGGACCTATTTATAGCGTTTTCCAAAACGTAAGATGTTGTTTTGTGCTTGTAAGGAGCGCGACTGACTTTTTTTCTAGGCCGCTCTGATGATCTTTGTTCTTGACACGGCTATTGGACTTGGGGTCTGGATTCCATTTTCGATCGGTAAATGCGTGGCACTCCTATCGGTAGGCTTCCATAATCCTCAGCATTGACTGTCTGAATCCTTACTTTCATTATTTGCGTATAGCTCAATCCTAAGCGCATCATCCAGATCCTCCACCTTCCTATCAAACTTATTCGTATTGTCACTGATCCTGAAGTCGACTTCGTCATCTACGTAATCCAGCGTCTATACCAAGAATTCTTCAAGAAATATTTCGGTTTCGTTGCAAGGCTCACAAATCTTCTTGTAAAAATGATACTGAGTGAAGAAAAGATGACGACATACGTGGACCTTGCAAACAGAACTGTGAGTTTGGAACCTATTATCACAGTTCCACAACACCAACTCTCTTGTGTACAGTATACGGAGGCCGTGCAGTTTTTCGCTGGTCATTCGCTAGCTTCCATCAACGACACAGTAGCGACTGAAACAGTTTTCGACAAAGTTCCGACATATCTTGGTCCCACTGAGCCTTATTTCGCTCTCCTTGGGAAAGAAGTTCGGCTTGGAGCCACGAGGTTCCAAGGTGCTTGGTATGATATGGCTGTCGGGAACGGTCCAACTGAACGTGCTTTTGCTATCGGTCTTGGATATTCGGTCGTCGGACTTTTGTTGGCGTTGTATCTGAACATCTTGACGGTTGGAAATGCGCGGACCGCTACGAGGGCTGTCCGGAATGCTGTTCGCCAACAACTCCTAGTCATCAAGGTAGGTGGATCTGGTGACACAATTTAATACGACATGGCATCTCATGTATGTTTCCTAGGTTGCGGCTTTTATCTTCATAGAACTTGTACTCTTCCCTCTGGGCTGCGGCATTGTCCTTGACCTTTGCACTGTTTGGTTATTCCCCGAAGCAAACCTTCAATCACGAATTGCATTCTTTGCTCAAGCGCCACTTACCGCCATGTTTTATCACTGGATTGCTGGGACCATGTTCATGTATGTGCCGTTCTATTTGATATAGTGCGAAACTTGCTGACGTGTTCCCCAGGTATTCGTTTGCTGTCCTTCTTTCAGGGTGTCGCACCGTCATGCGTCCCGGTGCAATGTGGTTCATCAAAGATCCCCAGGACCAGAACTCGCATCCCATTCGTGACATTCTTGACCGCCCGACTCTCACTCAGTTACGCAAAATTTTCATGAGTGCTATTCTGTACTCTGTTGTCGTGGGATGTGTTGTTGGGAGTGTAGCTGGTCTCTTGATTTTGGGTAATAAGTCGATATTGCCATTCAGGTGGAAGAACCGGTGAGTCGAATCATGCATCCATATTCGTCACTTGTCTGACTACCTCTATAGTGAACCTCTATCAAATGTCCCTATCGACCTCCTCTTCCTTCATCTTGTTCTTCCTTACACCATGCACTACTTCCGGCCAAAACGTGCAATCAAGTACCTCGCGACTGTTGTGTGGAAGTACCTTGCAAAGAAACTCCGCCTCACATCGTACTTCTTTGGTGACAATCGCCCGGAGGAGCAATACACGCCCCAACGATTCTTTGGCGCTGACATCAACGATCCCGAGTTTAGCAGCCGCCGCGACGGTACATTCCGCCGTGTGCCTGCGACTGACAATTTGGCTCTTCCACGCGATATGCGAGCAACTGCACGAGTAAACGAGTCCGGAGAGCCATACAATAAGGAGGCAGAGGAGCTGATCAATATTCAAAATGCAGAGGCCCTTAAAGCCAAACGTGACATCAGCTTTGATTATCGGGTTGTCTATATACCGCCCGGTTTCCGCTATCGCATCTTTGGTTTTATTCTTTCTATGTGGGGCATTGGGGCAGTTGTACTTGGAGTCTCTGTCGCTCTTCCCGTCTCGCTTGGACGGAGTGTATTCAAGCTATTTACACTTCGTGAGGTTCATGATGGGTACTCTCTCATCTTGGGCTTCTATCTCCTCGTGGCCTGTTACTTGTGCGGACGCGCGATCGATAGGTTGGACAAGAGACGTCAGCGTCGTTCACCTGAAGGTCGTCGGGGAGACTTGAGAATACTCGTCGTCAAACGCGGTCTGCTTTGGTTGACGAAGATCTCATATATGATGGTGACATTAGGTGTCCTGTTACCCATCTTAGTCGCTCTTGTTATGGATCTATATGTCATCTTACCCATTCGTCTGGCATTGGATCCCACTATGAATCCAAGAATACGGATCGTAGATTCTTGGGCCCTAGGCCTTCTCTACGTCAAGATTGCGTTCCATGTTCACCGGATTCAACCGAACACCCGGATTTCGCGAGGGTTGCATCATGTGAGTCGATTAGTCGGTCGTAGGGTGTCGCCCGTCTCATATGCTTGTGTAGATCATTACTCATGGCTGGCTACGTCCTGATCCCGTTGCCGCGACGAAGGACGTCATCATACCGGTTGGAGGGGGCTTGCTGGGAATGATCCTCCTGCCGGGCGTTCTTTTCCGAGTATTCCAGTATTGCTTCCCCAGCGTCACTGTGGACAGCAAGTTTGTCTGTGAGTATTTCCTGTTTCTCTTATGGGGTGGCTCTCCCCCTAATCGAAGCGGTGTGCCTGCACCTGCACCATAATGTTTTGCATCTAACGTCATTTACTGACCTATTTCTCCCCTCACTAGTCATGCAAATCTATCCGGGCATCTTCGTAGTCGCAGGCTTGATGCAATCAAGTCGGTTCATGAACGATATCGTTGCTTCATGGTCGCAGGCCATTCGAGACAAAGAGTTCTTAGTGGAGATGAGGTTGAGAAATCACGAGCCCGAAGAAGAGGGTCGCCGAGAGGGGGCGGTGACAACATGAGCTGTACCTTCGTATTGTTTCATTATTTAAGTTTTCTTGTCTTTTGCTGTGCATCTTCATGTTTTCTACCACTTAGTATTAGATCACATACATCTTCACTATGTGCATTTTTAGGACTTATATAATTTGACTGTCCTTCTGTAGCACTAAGGATTGACGGAAATTTACCACTGGACACCCTATCCGAACAACAATATCAAGGGCACATGGTGTAGTTGGTTATCACGCCCGCTTAGCATTAATCTGCAATTGCGAGAGGTGTTGGGTTCAATTCCCAATGTGTCCATACATTGGCCCTGTTCAAGGCCCGCTTTTTTTATTTATGTTTATTTTATGAATAACCCTATGCGCACCCTACGAATATGATGACATCACCTTTGAATTTGTTATTGTGGCCGTGTGATCTGCACTAACCAAAAATGTGCAAAAATGGACACATTGGGAATTGAACCCAACACCTCTCGCAATTGCAGATTAATGCTAAGCGAGCGTGATAACCAACTACACCATGTGCCCTTGAGGATTTGTGTATGCCACATCAACACATTACCTTTCCACATGCCTTAAATACCATCATCGCACCCTCGGTATGTACACAAGGTAGGCATTTAAACTCTTGGATCTCAGCTTTCAATGTTTTAAGAGTGAAGGAATTATATTGTACAATACACAAGTAGAGATACAGGAGAAACTGCCAAGACCCGTAGATACCTAAGCACCGAAACCGTACAGGGTACGCCCTGATCGCTTAAGGGCATAGACAACATCAAGTGCTGTTACTGTCTTCCGCTTTGCGTGCTCAGTGTATGTTACAGAGTCACGGATGACCTGATTGTTTGTCAGAGTTGCATTAGCCACTAGAGTGGGTCTGACTCACGTTTTCAAGGAAAATCTTCAGGACACCACGGGTCTCTTCATAGATAAGACCTGAGATACGTTTCACACCACCACGACGGGCGAGGCGACGAATGGCGGGCTTTGTGATACCTGTGCAAGTATTGTAAGCGGGAGAAGACAGACAAGTAACCAAGTTCCATACCCTGAATATTGTCACGAAGAATCTTACGATGACGCTTGGCTCCGCCCTTTCCGAGGCCCTTGCCACCCTTTCCGCGTCCAGACATGTCGAATAAGTAATGAGGTTGGTGAGGGTGATAGAGTGTGTGGTGGTGGCAGAAAGCACAAATGCAATGATGCTGGCTTCTGGCTACCCCCGGTGTCTATATACGTTGACATATGGTGGCTGTGCTGCATTTCCGTTTGTTGATCAAGCTCGCCAGAAAAGGTCCACGCAGGTCACGTGCGTGTCGCGGTCGCGACTGTATATAGTCGGCACGCTTTTCTTGGCTCCAGCATCCAACTCACCTTTCATTACTACCACCAACACTACAACCACTTTACATTCTCAATGGCCCGTACCAAGCAGACTGCCCGCAAATCCACTGGTGGCAAGGCCCCCCGTAAGCAGCTTGCTGCCAAGTCCTCCGCTGCTCGTAAAACTGCTGTAAGCCTACTCACTGCTACGACATGACTTGAGCTGACGACATTCACAGGCCGCAGCTGGTGGTGTGAAGAAGCCTCATCGCTTCCGCCCCGGTACCGTCGCCCTCCGTGAAATCAGGAGGTACCAAAAGTCGACTGAGCTCCTCATTCGTAAACTTCCCTTCCAACGTCTTGTCCGTGAAATTGCCCAGGACTTCAAGGTAAGCTTTATGCCCCTTC